GCCCACAGCCATCAGCATCTACTATAAGTTTTTAGTTCAATGAGTTACAACACCTAATTGATCCCTCTGGGATCAATAAAGTATTTTTGAATTGAATTGAATAACTTGGTTAAGTAAAGTCAACGCTTCATTTTTTAGAGTGATGAGTTCTGGTCATTTTTAAATTAGTAATGTGTACCTACTGTAGGTGTTCAATTTTTAAATAAGTAAAAGTATGTTTTTTAATTTTTTTAATGTAACGAAATACAAGTAAAAGTTACAATTAAAAATAATTAGTAAAATTACAGAGCTAAGTAAATGTACTTAGTTACTATACACCTCTGCTGGAACATAAGTACCAAAAAACATGGGTGAAACATGGGTATGGACCCTGAATACTGACAAACTCAGAATCTGTTTTTGTTAGTCATATTATGTGTTTTTATCAGCCTTTATGTTTCCTGAATTCTCAGTCACTCCCTGCTCTCCTGTCACCCTGCCAGATTCACCTGTTTCCAGTTGCAGCCAATTTTCTCATCATTTATTTGTAAGTAGTAAATCTGATTCATCTGCACTTTTGCTGATTTTTACAGAAAATATAATTTATCTGGTTAAAACGTCTTTTTAAAGCTCCAAACATAAAGACAGAAGCACTTGAGGGCTAAAATATTTTTCCTTTAGCTGCTCAAAAATAAACTAAGCATTGAATACTTTAATTAAACAGTCAGAATTATTGCTGGAAATGGATGCGTAAATTAATCTAGATCCAGAACTTGAAGTCTTTTGCAGGTTTCCCATATTGAAAGAATTTGCAATATTCTAGGTTTCAGCCGGGGAAAAAATAAACCAATTAAGTCAATTCTGATGAATAAAACGATGATTTATGTCACTCTTTTGTTGAAAATGCTTGCTGTATTCAGATGAATTTAATAAATTAATTAAAAGCAGATTGACATGCAGCAAAATCAGCGTTTGAGTAGAAGTCACTGGATAGATGTGGAAAAAGCCAAGTGCCTGGTTATTTAAAGACAAATAGTGYGCATTGCCAATGCAATGCATACTATTGTGATTCGTTTCCCATCCAAGTCATCTCAACTTTGCCATGCTTCTCCTCCTGCATACTTTGTCCTAGAGCTGCCATTGTAATTTATATCTGTAAAGCCCCTGTGCCAAATGATGGCTATGCCTTTTGGTGCCTGTAAAACTTATAATTTTTGAAATATTAATGTTTAATAAATTGCATGCAAAATGGCAGTCAATGGAGTCTTGTATTGGTCCAATACTGCCCCCTGCTGCATCTACACAATATGGTAC